CAAGACCGCTTCTTTCAGTATGGGCCATAGGGCTGTTTGCTGCAGATGGCAGGCTCAAGGAGCGGTAACAAGAACAGAAGAAACAGACTAGTTCACCTTGGCCTGCATACATCACTCAGCATAGCGGGGTCGATTTTTGGCCGAGCCGCAAATTATTCCAACCAACCATGATACTCGAGGCCGTGCCCGTGAGGCTCAGGACCGGGGGTTTGCTGCACGTCTTGAAGATCATGACTCTACTGCTTGGCGTCTAAAATAGAAAGAGTCGTACTCGATAATAGTCATAATATTGATGCTATACTAAGCAAAAAAAAAAGAAAAAGATATCAAAATAAGAATGAGATGGAAGATGAGAAGACGAAATGGACAAGGCAGACCCGGGGAATCCAGCCCAGGTCTAGCGCTAAACCAAATCTGGAAACCGCAAGTATACAAAATTCTAGTCTAACAAAATAACCAAAAAAGCATTACACCAGGATATATGCTCGTGACCCATGACCCGCTTTGCATAACAAAAAGCATTCCAGAAATAAAAAGAAAATCATCCAAAAAAAAGTAATAGAGTTCGGAATCACTATGCCGAGCCGTCAGCTTCAAGAACCACCGAAATGCTGAGTGAGCATCGGAGTCACTTACCATTGTACTCGTAGTACCCTGTCTCGGCCCGCGAGAGGACGTTTCAAAAAGTCTCACTTAACATAGTCGCAACTGGAGCAGGCCGTGTGGCTGCACATCACGCACTGGGGCTGATGGTTGTAGATCTTAGGCCCATCTCCACATGCGCAGCAGATGTACATGTAAGTCGCGCTGTTGTGCTTCGTTCCAGGTAGTGAGGCCGGCGATATGCCTGTGCAGTCGACCCCTGGTAGAGGTTGTAGACCGGGGAGCTCTGGTACGACGATGGACATGGCTGTGGTCTTCAAAGTTGGGGTGCGAGGTGTTTGCATGGTGACGGCAGTTGGGTATGCAGAAACTGGGTTGGAGCTGTGAGAGTGGGAGTGGAGGTTCATGTTGTCGGAGACCTTCTCGTCGACGCAGCGAGCGCAACGGAGTCTTCCACACTGGATGCAGGCGTCGTAGAGGGAGGAGTTGTGAGGGCCGAAGTTGCAGCCGCAGCAGTACCACAAAGACGCCATTGATGTTACGGGTTGGATAGACTGAGTTGATATCAGAGACAGGATGAAAGATCTGGTGGAAAGCAGAGTCGAGTTCTTTATAGTTGCAGAGCGGGAAAGCCTGGCTAAACTGATACTTGGATGTTGATTGAGTTTGAGAATGGAATTAGATTTTAAGCATGGGAAATCATGAAAGCTATATACCGTGAAGAAATTAGAATAGACAGTAATAGAAGCAAGAACCAGAAGCGCAAGGCAGCGTTCCTAGAACAGTCAACAG